ATATATATATATATATATATATTTTTCGCAAAAAGTAAATTTTGTGATGTTATGCCATGACATGATAGGCTATGTTATGCTAATGTCACGTTATGCTATCTAATAAAATTATGTTATTTTGTGATTATGTCAAGTTGTATAAAGTTGTTATGAAAATGTTAATTTATGATGCATAAACCTCCTTAAACTATGTCATGAAAGTAATGTAATGTGTTATAAAATGTACGGAAATTATGTAAGCATAATTCATATTATAGATAAATTGAGGTTTGTCTTTCATCATACATTATGTCATGATTATAAGCTATAGGGACCTCATGCATATTTGTGTGAAACATGCATTACAATACTTTTCCACTATGATGAGTATGAATGCATACATTATGACTTATGATTTACGACATTATATTCACATGATGTTATATGGGCATTTTCCCTCTGTGGTGTTCGGCATAGAGCCTGTTAGCGAGTGCTAGCCCAATGTGCCAAGCCTAGGGGGTGTGCGAGCCTGCCTAGTAGGCCTATACTCACACACAGTGTGTAAAGAAGTACCATACATCTAACCTTGCCTAGACTGGAAAGCTACCTAGGGTCATGTATTATATGTTCAAATGATAGGTCACACCATGTCGCATGTGTTTACATTCACTTACTTCAATAGTGGGGTTACTTACTAAATATTTCTTAAAATACTCAAGTCATGTGCTACTTTTACATTTCAGGTAAAAATAAGGAACCTATGTACGGATGCCGGTGGCCGCGCGATGAAAGTCATGAAACCAGTGTTAGGTAGATGTTTCATGTAGTTTGTAGCCCTTAGGTTAGACTAGGACATTGTTTTATTCTTTTCTTTGTTTTATTTAAATGTTCGGGTTATTTCTTTTCTATTGTTTTGTATTAACATCAACCTCCATCGTACATAACATTCAAAGTTTTTACTATATAATCATTTTTATTATCATATAAGATTGATGCAATGTATTCTCTGTTTGATAAATGGTTGATTAAACATTAATAAAAATGAATAATTAAATTAAATAAAGTGCATAATCTATAAGTGAGATTGTATAGAGCATTGACTATGCCTACATGCCTATTCCAAATCATTTTACCTTTTCATGTTAGCTAGTTTTTTTTTTTTTAAATTATAATTTGTGCTTGTGGCTATACTCTTCTTCTTCCCCGAGTAATCATAAATAACGAATTACAAATCTATGATTTCGATTCTCTATAAAAGACTAGAAATGCCTTGCTTACGTATCATTGGGAAGTGCATTAACATAAATACGGCAGTAAGAGGTAATACAAAAGTGTGTAAACTATAAGAACAAGTCAAGGTAGATTGTCCCACACTAGCACTTCCGCGTAATAACTCTACCAAAAGCGACTCTATTACTGGAATAGCTTCCGGTATACCTATTACAATTTTGACTGTCAAATAACCAATTTGGTCCCGAGGTAAGGAATAACCAGTTACACCAAAGGATGCGGTCAATACAGCCAGAATCACTCCTGTAACCCAAGTCAATTCACGAGGTTTTTATTATGGCTCATCACCTGTAACCCAAGTTAATTCACGAGGTTTTTATTATGGCTCATCGTATTTGTCTCAAAATTTATTACAATGGGATACAACTAATTGTCAAATCTTCCTACCTGAATCATATGCTATCAACGTTGTTGGCGTTCCTTATTGCTTGCTACCTTGTAACATTACTTTCTTTAGTCTAGCTGTCTAGAATCATTTTTCAATAGTAAAAGTGGAGTTTTAACTCCCATAAATAGTCACCAACAATCCAAATTTTAGTCAGCTAACTTGTGGATTAAAGTTAGCTAACTTATGCGAGAGAAATAATCAATGATACACAATTGTATTACCAATCACAAAAGAAAGCAACTGTGACACTCAAACACATGATCCAATTTGGTGGAACTCTATACCAATTATTGGATGATGATTTCATTTTTGTTTTCTGTTTTTAAATTTTTATTTTTCAATTTCTTGTAGTCTTAAATAGCTATCAAACAAGATATAAGGCTATTAACACGGCCTAAAGCAATTCCAAGCCAAAAAAGTTTGAGCAAAGCATAAAGAAATGGAGAGAGAAGAGCGAGGGAAGCAACCAAAGTTATAATTTCCATAGTAAGACCTCATAAAAGGAGGGAAAATATACATCGGAGTGAGTAGTAGGAGAATGTCTCTCAATATTACAGAACACAGAAGAGCCAAGCAACTGTATGAGCTAACCAACCGCCTAGGTGGGAGGGAAAAGAGAGCCTAGGCTTACAACTAACGCCACAATGAGCAAAGTGCTATTAAAATTTAACCTCTACACATCGGGTTATTGCGTTCGCAGCCTGCTGTTCTCCGCAGTTCTCACCTGGAAGAAGTATGGATGAGCCTGCAAACAATCAATTTTCAGAAATTAGGAAATCTCTGTCAGACCTGTACAAAAACTTTGCCATACTAAGAGTTAGAACATTTGACTGATGAGTTTTATTTGTGTAACCAGTGGTTTGCAACTAAGTATATGCTATGCATTACAGGTTGCTTAATACAAACTCGCCAATTACATGGCTTCGTAAAACCGAACCAAATCAAGTTACATTAAGTCCAAGCTGATGAACCTACCTTTTGAACGAGGCACTGACTTTTGTGGTAAATTATAAACTCAGAACCAAATATAGATTAGACAAGTTCAAATTTCTGTAATTCTTTTTTTTACTAAACACAAAAAAGAATATTGAACTCTAGAGGTGGTAATAGTATTTGAATGTTAGAGATGGTGACACAAAAAATATTGAACTCTAGAGGTGGTAATAGTATTTGAATGTTAGAGATGGTGACACACAAAAATTATTGAACTCTAGAGGTGGTAATAGTATTTGAATGCTAGAGATGGTGGCAGGCTGTATTTCTTTAAGGATCGGAAAGTTAACCAGGAGGACAAAGATGCACCATAAACCAAACAGCAAAGAAATTGATGAAGGAACTACAATCGGAACAACTTGATAAATGAGAACACACAGCTTAACTCAAATAGAAGAGAAGTTGATAAGTACCATTGCTTCTCTTGCAGTGAGCCTATCTTGATGGTCGTACCGAAGAAGCTTATCCAGAAAATCAATGGCCTATGGTAGAGAAGACAACCCATAAATGAAAAGTCACAACGTAAACATAAATAAGAAACTTATGGTAGTAGTCCATTGACTCAAGAACATAACTGACCTCAGGGGATACAAGATGCTGGTTATCACCATTGATAAATCTTGACCATGGCTTACGGCTATGCCTGCAATATAAACCATGGGAAGACAAGTTTTATACAACCAAGGATAGCAGATAAATGATCGAAAAGCATATTCACGCCTAGTCTTGGGAACAGATTGTTCATATCGTGATGAAAACATACATTCTTTAAAATCATTTTCACAAAATCTGCAACTATGCTAGGGCTATGTTTCCTCTAATTTATGCAAGTACAGAATTATGGAGCCATGAAGATGTTGAAATATGACATAAATTGAAGTTGATTGGGTCGGTTTAGAAATAGCAGAATTTACAACAGGTTTTCATACAACTAATAATTATAATTAAAGAAACAGCAAAAACTCGATCATTTCCAATAACCGATGAATCCTCTTCAATAACACAAATAAAAAAATTAATCATGCTGCATTAATTTAACTATAAAATTCAACTTTTCGATTTGTCATAGACATTTGATCTTGAATACTAGAGTTGCTTTGAAGCAATAAGTCCATGAGAGAGAGAGAGAGAGAGAGAGAGAGAGAGAGAGAGAGAGAGAGACCTTCCAACAAGGGCTTCAAGTTGTGGATCAAGAATCAGTTGATATTTGTTCAGATACGCATTCAACTCATCTGTCCCCAAAACCTGAGTAATATTCGTTATTCATCATAAATAAAGTGGAGGCAAAGGTGGCAATGAAAGTTAAAATAACCAACCAATGTGGAAAAAAAGATGAACAAGTACCTTGGCAATTTTGACAAGCTGGTCATGATTGTCGTGACCATAGAAGAATGGTTCCTTCCGAAAAATCTGCAAGAAAAGAAAAGGGCCTTGAGCAAGCTCATTTCGTCTTAAGCCATTTTTTACACCATTTGCATGACCATGAAAAAGAGACCAGACTTTAGTAAGGCTTTTGTAGTCCCAATCCTCACCATTCCAGCAAACATACAACCCAGGCTCCACATATCCAAGGAATAGTCATAGTCTTGTAAATCTACAAGAAGTTCCGGTCCTTTGAAATACCTGACAATAATATCAGCAAAATCTATCAATTTAACTTCAAGACGAATTAACTGATAGTCAGTAAATCAAAAAAGAGTTCACTTACCTAGATGCTACTCGAACATTGTACTCTTTTCCAGGATGGTAGAATTCAGCAAGACCCCAATCAATCAAACGAAGTTTTCGCAGTTCATGGTCAATCATAACATTGTGAGGCTTTACATCTCTATGCATTATGCCTTGAGAATGGCAGTAATCCAATGCCTGCACTTAGAATGCTCAAATCAGAAGCAAGATAAAGACATTAAAACACAAATACTACAACCTTCACAGCCAAGACATGAAGGAATTTGAACGCATATGGAAAATTCACAACATAAGGCAGGACTGGAGCTTATCTGTTTTAGTAACAATCCCATTATGAACACTTTAGGACCACATACTTTGATCGTTTGTTCTTAGGAAAAAAAAAACAAAAAAACTACAAACAAATCCAGTTGCTCATGTATAAGTATGGGGGCGAAGAAGAGAGAGAGAAATAGAGAAGAACATGAAGAAGTATTATACTCAAAGCTCCAGGCACATTGTCATAGGAAGAAATAGAAAATCTAAATTATGATGCATTATGATATGACTTCGCAAGCAGAATAATTTAAGGAATAATAGCTTAAATGGATATCAATTATCATTGTATGCTTTTCTAAAAAATAACTCAGCTACTTTTCTTTTTTTGTTAGCATTTCAAGCTCACAAAATTCTTAAGAGGAAAGAAGAAAAGAAGGGGAATTTATACAAGCATATCAAGAAGTGATGAGACATGAAAATACCTTCAAAAGCTCATATATGTAGTAACGAATGTCATAATCGGTCAGCGTAGGGTACAAAATTTTGAAATCTGTACTGTTCACATATTCAAAGATTAAGCTAGGAGTTTTTGAGTGTTGATCTCTGACAATATCCAGCAGTTTCACAACATTTGGGCCACCACAAAGATTCTGTAGTATTTTTATCTCCCTCTTTATCTGTATTAACACATGATGACCATATTAGAGCAAGTGACATCAAATTAAAGGAAAACTGGTTGACAGCAGTACTGCAGTAAAAATAAATTACTTTAGAGTATGCGTACATGCCATTCATGTATGGCACACATGAAAGATGCAGAATTGGATTTTGATCTATGCAAAGACTGATGTATAGTCATGAAGAAGAAATCTTATAAAAAAAAATTGCCCCAAGATAGATCTAAATATAACAAGGATGTACATATACGGAAAATCAATTTTCCCCTAAACTTGCCATGTTGTATCAATTTATACTCCTACATTTAATTTCATCAAATAGCACCCCAAACTTAGGCACGGGTTGCAATCCTAACCCTAAACTTATTAAAAAAAAAAAATGTTGCAATTTAACCCTCTGTTTAATTTTTTTAAAGATTATTAAAAAGTATTCTCATATGCATTCAATGAATTCTAAAAATATATGTATGGTACAAAACTGATAAGATTTAAAAACAAAACTAATAATAACATGAGAGCTAAATTTTTGTTGAAATGTGTGTATTTTGGAAAGGTTAGTCAATGGTAAATTCTTGCATTAGATCAAATTTAATTTTGTGCAAAACTTGATTCTATTGAAATTGCTAAGGTTATACGTATTTTTAAATTGATTTTTGTTAAAATTAGTGGGTTAATTAGTGAAATTGAATATTGGATAAAAATTGAAACAGTTGTCTATGTTTAGGGTTTAATTTGATGAAATTGATAGCATGGACTTTAAAATGATACAATTTGAATGAGAAACTTAGACACCCCAGCATACAACAGTTTCTTTTTTAATCACTCTGATGATTTAAAAATTTGGACTGTGCCTCCTAAGCTTAATTTCTTCAGGATACATGACACCTCCAACATGTACTGGTCTTACAGAAAACTAGCAGGAAGATGACAAATTGGGAAGAATTGAACAAATATCATACAAAAAGAACACTTTATGCATCAAGCATACATAGTGTCTATCCAAAAACATCATAGATTACGAGTAAACGACAATGCTCACCTTCTTCTTCTTGACAGGCTTAAGAATCTTGATAATGCACTTTTCATTGTTGGTGATATTTATACCTTCAAATACCTCGCTATACTTTCCTCTTCCAACTTTCCGGACAACCTCATAATCATCCTGACCACTGTTTTAAAAGAGTTCTATTAGCAGCAATGTCTTATAAAGAAAACACATGAAAACAATAAATTAAAAGATAATTCATAAAAGGAAAAATGATCAAGCATTTTGAGATCATCTCTTCCCATACCCATTATCAGAATCATTCATAATTACAGAGAGAAACTACTTTAAACTAAAAACTAGAGTTCTCTCTTCCCTTTCCGTGAGTTAGCAGAAACTACACGGAGCACTTGAACTTCTGCTATTTCATGAAAGAAAGAAAAAAAACTACAGATGACTGACTGCATCCACAACAAAAAGATGCACTCGTGCCAAATTTCCACAGATTCACATCAAGTTTTCCTTCCACATTTTCCGAAAAGGCCATTCATGCTCAAGAGGATGAAACGCCCAGTACCTGAACAGTAGAATATATACAAAGTCTCTTCCTCGGGCTACTGTCGACTCCAAGAGATGAGGTAATAACAGATCAGGTTAGAATGGTTTCTCGTAATCTCTTGAACCCATGGTAGGGATTGATCCCTAACCTTCCTAACTTTTGAATATTCATTTCTTTCTTTAAAATGGAAAATAAATAAATAAAATCCCCCTACATTCTTCAATCTAACTCACAGCCAACCCCTGCGACAGCCAAAAACAGCATCAATGACGCACGGGTGGAACGCCAGACAACGATCCGCAAGAAACTCCCCGTAAATAAACAAACTACGCAAGAAGCTAAATTAAACGATCCCAACTAGCAAATGAAACCCTAGATCGGATGGACAGAGGGAAAACGAAGGCAAGAACAGAACAAGGATTGAAATAAGAGAAGTAAGAAAAGAGTAATTTAGAGGACTCACCTCCATTGGACGGCGAGAGACTCGTAATCCCAGTATTCTCTGGGGCGATGAACATTGACGTCGGCGTAAACTCGGGACCTGGACATGATGAAAAGAGTGGAAGGTTGATCGGGAAGTGATCGTAGAGAGAGGAACAGTGCGGTGGCGGGGATGAAGAAATCTGAGGGAGAGCGGTAGCAACCAGCCGCCCCTTCCCCGAATTAAGGAATTGACAAGAAACAAACGAAACCACTAAACAAAACCCATGACTTTCATTCTTCCTCTTTGCCCCTTTTCTCCACAATCTCTCTCACTTTTTTGTTAGGTTAGGTTAGGTCGTGAGTTTTCAGTTTTTAGATAGCCCAATGGTGTAAATTTAAATTTCTTTTACAACTACGAATCAAATTAGGCCCGTTTGATAACCATCTGATGACAATAGCTCTATATCGATATCTCAACCATGTGATCGAGACCTCTATATACCTATTTATATGGTTCTCGATCTAGTCCTTGTTGCACCACAATAGTTAATGTTTGATGATGAAAGTCCCACGTCGGCTAATTTAGGATATGATCATGGGTTTATAATCAAAAAATACTCTCTCCATTGATACGAGGCCTTTTGGGGAAGCGGGGAAGCCCAAAGCAAAGTCATGAGAGCTTATGCTTCAAGTGAACAATATCATATCATTCTGGAGAGTCGTGTTCGTCTAACAGTTAGTAGGTGATTCAAAACCTATGATAAAAGACGAATAGTATCATATATAGGACAAGACTCGTTAGTGAGGTCCATATTGGTAATGGAAAGATCTGCCTCAAAAAAACATTTTGATGGAGCTGAAGTTGATTCTTCCCGTGCCAAAAGACCTATTTAACTAATTATAGGAATACCTATTACAATACCCATCAGCCAAAAAATAATCTTTCCAATAGTATCGACCATTTACCTCATTTCATTAAGAGGTCGTGTTAGAGACGTAAACTCTCATGGTGAACTTTTAGATGATATCTGTTCGAATGGGGTCATAGAATTGGAAATAGGGTTACAAGTGACTATGTGATAAAGAGTTCGGTAAAAGAATTGGAGCAAATTCGGCCACGTTTACGTTCGATTTTTTTCTACCCATTGACCATTAGACACATGTTTGGATTAGTTTTGAGCAAGATCCTTTGATTTTGCAATTTGGAGTCCATTGTGAGACAAATTCATGGATTTTGGCGCCAATTCGAGCTCGTTTGTTGAGGACTTTTGCTCATTTAAGCTAGACTAAAGTTTCCCTCGAGACAATTTGTAAAGTAGAGCCCTCAAACGTGCTGTTAAATACTCGAGTTTTTTGAGTAAGTTCTTGTGCTTTCAAAGAGAAATTCATCTTCTACACTCGACCAATCCTTGACTTCATAAAACTAAGAAGAAGATTATGTGGAATAACTAGAACGTTGAAAGTGACTATGCAACTGTGCACGGAGTTCTTATTCGAGTTTCAATGATACCTATTGAACCAAAAAAACTAAGAATTTAATCTGTGAAATTTTGTATCGTTTTTTTAGCTTTAAGCCACAATTTTTAGTACCTACTGATGATTTATGAGCTTATGCACTCCTAAATAAGACTCTAATTGACTCGACTAATTTATTGGAACTATGGCTAGTATGATTGTGTTTTACCGTGATTTACGTGTCAGATAGTTCATAGAAATATATGACGTGGGATGTTAGATATCGTGTAAGAGAGATTGAACCTATCTATATGCATAGGTATGTATGATGATTTACTTACCATGTAAACTACATGGTTTACGAGTATGATAAAGGACGCAGTTATATAAGTTACTATGCCTTGGACAATGAGCTAGGATCGGTGTCATTAAGTTGTCATTATTGACCGTGTACATGTGGACAATTAAGTCACAGCTCCTACTCGTGAATTCTACTCAATTAGAAAAGATCTACCGAATATAGAGATTTGTAGGGTCAACCACCTACAATTTGTGGCATAATATAAGATATTATTGAGAAAGATTTGGTCGTGCTTAATGGCGAGTCTGTCAAGTACGGTTAAGAGAAACAACAATGTTCAGTGGATTGAAGGAGCCTAATAGGACTAGGCTGATGAGGGCCGTGAGATTAGCAAACCCTAAAACCCTCAATTAGCTCAATGGTGGCTGTTTCTAGGCAAACCTCCTAGTTATCCCTATTCATCATCGGCGCAAGAACGCTCGACCAGTGAGCTATTACGCACTCTTTCAAGGGTGGCTGTTTCTAGGCAAACCTCCTGGTTATCTCTGCACCCTTACCTCCTTTATCACTGAGCGATCATTTAGAGGCCTTAGCTGGTGATCCAAGTTGTTTCCCTCTCAACGATGAAGCTTATCCACCATCGTCTCATTGCCCGACCTTGACCCCTGTTATTTTGCGATCATATCTAGTATTCAGAGTTTGCCTCGATTTGGTACCGCTCTTGCGGCCCGCACCGAAACAATGTTTTACCCTTAGATGTCCAGTCAACTGCTCCGCCTCAACGCATTTTGGGGAAAACCAGCTAGTTTTGGGTTCGAGTGACATTTCACACCTAACCACAACTCCTCTGCTGATTCTTCGACATCAATTAGTTCGTCCACTTTATTTTATTTATAATTATTTTTGAAGCAAATTACAAATCATTTTAATAAAAAAATTCAAAAAAGCTTTAAAAGACATTATTAAATTCTTTAAAGGTTTATTTTCTTTCAAACAAAATAGAAAAAATTTAAGAACATTTTTATTTGCCGACGTTGGTCTGCTTGCTCCCGATTCACAGGCGTGGCTGTCTCGTTGATGGCCGGACATTAACGTCGTTTTCGCACCCTGAACTCTGAATCGACGCTCTCGAAATCACTGAGCGAGCAAAGGGAATCGGAATAAAGCTCGTGTAATTCGATGAATAGCTTGCGTCGACGTTGTGGCTTGCTTCTGCGGCCGGTCGCTGCCCGTATCAATGTAATCCCCAAAGCTACCGTCTCTTCTAAGATTCACTGGAGGGCGTATTTCAGTTTCAGGTCATCTCCAATGGGATTCAGAATTAGAGAAAGTAAAATTTCATGCCAATCTTTCTTGCCTTCGTCTCGGCATCGATTCTCTTCCTTCTCTTCTCCATTGAAATCAGGCACTGGAGTTATCCGATGGTATTTAAGGAAACTCGACACCTACCCGTTTATCACTAAAAGTATCAGTTCTTCGCTCATTTATGTGGCTGCTGATCTAACCTCTCAGGTACAAGATGGTTTTTATGTTTGCATGCAATTCATTTCCGCATTCTTTCGGAATTATTTGGAATTCAGGATACAGTTCGTGAAAAAACGAGATCGATTATCCGATAACTATACGAGAAGACACCACCTCTCCCTTAAATGAGGTGGTTTCGTATAAAAGATCATTTACATGCAGAAATGATGTTTGGTCGTTACTATCTTTGTGCTTGAAATCTTGAGTAGTTGCATTTTGTTGATGTATATAACAATTTGAAGTAGCTTAAGTTCAACAAATCGACATTTAAGCACCTTCTGCCAAGATTTATGTTATAAATACTGTAGGTTTTAGGGTTGGGCAGTTGTCATTCATGGGATGATTTGTGTTGAAAATTTATGAGAGGACAAATCTCATTGTGATATATTTGGTTTACTTGTTCAACTTTCATCAGTTTTCTATTACACCCGTTGTTGAAATAGCAACACCCTTCACAATTACCTTTCTTATACCCTCTTGTTCTGGTTAATTTTGTCTTCTAATTGTTTGGTTTATATCAAATTTTGTTAGATGATTACATTGCCATCTCCTGGCTCTTTTGATTTAATAAGGACAACACGGATGGCTGCTTATGGATTGCTGATATTGGGGCCATCCCAGCATTTGTGGTTTAATTTCATGTCCACGGTCTCACCAAGGCGAGATTATTTGTCAACTTTCAAGAAGATTGTTCTAGGGCAGGCTGTGTACGGACCTACTCTTACCTCTATTTTCTTCTCCTATAATGCATCTTTGCAAGGTAATCAGAAAGCTGAAGTTGTAGAACTTCAGATAATTTTTAGCTAAAAATCACTTTTTATCCTTGAACTTAAAAGTAACTGTTTAGTCTCTGAGCATTGATTTGTGACAATTTAGTTCCTCTGCTTTCAAATTTATAACCCTTTGGCCCCAAAACTTTAGAATGTAACAACTTTAAGATTTGTAGCAATTTAACGGAACTTCTCATTTGGGTAGATCAATAAACCAATTAGGGACCTAATATGTTTATAAGCTACAAAGTCTAAATCTAATAAAAATCGACATTTAATTTTTATGGATTCTTTTACGGCATGATTAAATTCTTGCAAATTTATCTGTATAAATTAACAGTAGATGGACTAAATTGTTACAAATTAAAGTTTGGAGACTAAATTGTCACTTCCATGAGAGTTTAGGGAGGGACCAAAAGTGATTTTTCATTATCTTGCCATAGGTGGCTTGCTTTGATGACCTCCACCCTGGTTTCTTCAACTTCATTGTTAGATGCTTTGATGGAGTGTTCTAATGGATTTTTGGGTCCCCTGTTGTGCACATTTATGAAGTGTGGATTAAGATAGGTGTTTAACTATCAAATGCTGGGCCTTGGTCTTTAGTGCTGAAATTAGAGTGTTCCTTTTTGCTATCAGTATTTGTTACATTTTTCTTGCTATGGTTGGAGGCTTTTGATGACTGCTATCTGGCTTCATCTAGTTCATAATTCTGTTGATAATGAAGTTCTATAATTTATCGAGGCCCCCTTTGGAGAACTAGAGGTAAGTGGGTTGGTTCTATTTGGTTCCATTCTCCTAGAAAGCCAGTATCCGTGCTAGTTTTCTGCTTTTCTTGGACCAATCGGTCTCTATGGCATTAGATTGAGCCATTAAGTCCAACGCCAAGCAGAAGTATTAGTTGAAGAAAATTTGAAAACTGGTGCAAAATCTAACTTTTTGGAAAATGGAACCAATCAAAACCAATCAAAATGAACCGACCGACTACTTTTTTTCTGGAATATTATGGAATCAAACTAGCCAACATCATGTGTGTTGGTTTAACGTCTGGAACTGAATAAGTTTTTTCACCCGAACGTTTATAAGATGTAGATTAAGAAGATTTCTTATTATCTGCTAATTCTGTGTCGTTTATGCTGAAATCCGTAGCCTCCTAGTTGTAGTCCATATTTAGCCTACTGGCTTCTACAGCTTGGCATTTGTTACATTCCTTGAAGTCGACCACTATTCTCTCGAAGTACATTCTGTAGTTGATTTATTACTCGTGTCTTATAATCCATATGCATCTCGTAATCTGGAAATAATATTATTTAGAACAAATATATTCTGATATTGCTCGCTTCTAAATGCATTATTTCCAAATTCAGGTGAAAGTGGCAGTGAGATTGCTGCTAGATTACAGCGAGATTTACTTCCAACATTGTTAAATGGACTCTTGTTTTGGCCAGTCTGCGATTTTCTCACATACAAATTTGTCCCCGTTCATCTACAGGTACGTTCCCATCACATCCAGACATAAAAAGAGGAATCCTTATATCATATACAAGATGCCACAGTCTAGTCTAGTCTTTGTTTTGATTGCTCTCAGCATAGTCGTTTGCTCATTTTTCAACCAAACAGATAGAACTCTAAATCCGTTTTTGGGCGTCGATTTTGCAGCCATTGACAAACAGTTCGTTCGCATATATATGGACCATTTATCTGACATACATGGCTAGCTTAAAAGGAGTTGACATGAATTGAAGCAGTAGTAGATTTGAAGAGACTGCCTTTTGTTTTCATGGCTTGTTTAGCAACTACCTCTATGAAGCAGAAGGCTTCCATATAGTGCTCGGTAAGTAAAGCACTTCCAACTCTTCTACTCGGCTGGATTTAAGCATTGATTATTGCAAATACGTAAAATCTTGGTGATGGGATGGGATTAAGAGACATTTTGACTATGATTCCAATGTTTCATTTATAAATATGTCTGATCCCAATGATTTTGAGATGATTCAATCTGTTTATGTTGCTGTAAATGTGACTGCTGATTTGCACCGGCCCCACTGCTAGCAGATATTGTCCTCTTTGGGCTTTCCCTTTCAGGCTTTTCCTCAAGACTTTAAAACGCGTCTATTAGGGAAAGGTTTTCACACCCTTATAAAGGGTGTTTCGTTCTCCTCCCCAACCAATGTGGGATAACCCAATCCACTCCCTTCAGAGCCCAGCGTCCTCGTTGGCACTTGTTCCTCTCTCCAATCGACGTGGGACCTCCACCAAATCCACTCCCTTCGAGACCCAGCGTCCTTACTGGCACACCACCTCGTGTCTACCCCCTTTGGGAAACAGTCTCCTCGTTGACACATTGCCCGGTGTCAGGATCTAATACCATTTGAAAAGGCCCAAGCCCACCGCTAGCAGATATTGTCTTCTTTGGCTTTCCCTCTTGGGCTTCCCCTCAAGAATTTAAAAAGCCTTTGCTAAGTAAAGGTTTCCACACCCTTATAAAAGGTGTTTCGTTCTCTTCCCCAATCAGCGTGTGATATCACAAGCAATTACTCCTCATTGCCTTTAAGTTGTAACTTTAAATGTGTTGCCCCTTTTTATGTAACTTGTGAATGGCTCTTATAATTCACAAACAGCACTAAATTTGTGTGTCCTGCTGCCACAAAATAACAGAGGGCCTTCAATTCAAGGGCTTCTCTTAACTCGCGTGACGGCCTGCCGTGCATTTGCTGTATGTTTGATCGTGTAATTTTAATGGCGATGTGTCAGACTCATATAGAATCAGCCATGAGTTTATGTGTTTTTGATATATGAAATTAAATTTTAATAAAGTTACAATATGCTTTTAAATTTTAATTTATACAATCAATTTAACAATTCTAACACAATGCTCGTTTCTCTTTTCAGGTACAGTTGATTACGAGGATTTGAACCTTAGACCTTACGTAAAGAAATACTAAGCTCACTTTGACCTAATGAAATACTTGATTTGATACGTTTATTAGATAAATTTTGATTAAATTAGTGTGTCGTGTTAAAACCTCTAGACTTTGGTACAACTTTAATTAAAAGTAGCAAAATAATTGTTCATTAATATTTTTTTTTACGTTGGTATGAAACTTTTCTTATTTAAAATCCAAAATAAGAGGATAAAAAAAACAAGAAATTTAAATTTTTTAATGTAATATATCTTACAATGTTTGAGCCATTTGGGATTGGGATTTTTTTTGTTAAGTAATTAATATTGGTGTAGATAATTCCTAAATTTATGGTTTTAATTTTGCCCTAAAAATGAAGCAAAATTACTTGAATGCCCTTCTATTTTATCGGTCCACAATTCCAACGTTCACTACACTCCGTCTCTTTTTGTCTTTTTGCTTTACCCGTTTCCCATGCGTACAAAACTCCGTTTCCATTTCAAGAGCCTGCATTGGGGCCCACCTGTTTAAGCCACGTTGCAATTCGTCCTCGCGAGTACTGTTGCTCTCTTACTCTCGCGAGTAGTCATTAATACCTTCCCTTCTTATTTCAATTTTTTTTTTTGTTTCAGAATATTATATAAAATAATTTGCAATTTAAGCCGTTCATGACCGTTGTGGATTTCTCAAATCTTCTTTCTCAACTCCTCCTCTCTGTGTTTCTCCGGGGAAACTCTTAACGGTCATTTCTTGGAAAACAGTCCAGACTGAGGGTGAGAGCAAAGATTCCAGACTCCTTCCGTTCAGATTCTTCTGAAATTGGTTGTGATTGAGGTTTATTTGTTTCGGTAAGTGCATGATTCTTGATTTGGATTCATGTTGGGGTGATCTGCGGTGTAAATTTAGGGTTTCAGGTTGCGATTTGAACGGGAATAATGGTTGCTGCTGTATCGACGGCGTTGAATACTAATACCATGGCTCAGACTCCGAGAGTGCCTCACTCTCAAAACCTTACGAGGCCGCCTCTTTTGCCTTCTGACCCCGACAATGGCGCAGCGGCTCGACGGCCCAAATCCCGGGAAGTTACTTCTCGGTACTTGTCGTCTTCCACTCCCTCTTCTTCTTCTACATCGGTGCTGAGACGATACCCGTCCCCTTCGGTTTCCGGAACGTCTACTTCGACGTCTGTTCTGACTTCGATGCCGTCGTCGTTTAGGCGGTCGGAATCGGTGGAGAGAACTCAGCGAGGGACTCCTCATCCTAATTCGTTGGATCTCAGATTTGGTCATGCTAATGGAAGGGGTGAGATGTCAGCAGCTCAGAAACTGTTGTTCAATTCGACACGGAGCCTATCGGTTTCTTTCCAAGGCGAATCGTTTCCTTTGCAGGTTAGTAGACCAAAGCCTGCGCCGACTCCTGGTATTCGGAAGGGTACGCCGGAGCCGAGAAAAATAGCCACACCAACAAGAGGTGCTGGTGGCGGCGACCAGACTGAGAATATGAAGCCAGTAGATCAGCAGCGGTGGCACAGTGGTCACCGGCAGGCGAATTGTATGAGCAGGAGTTTGGATTGTGTGGATGAACGGAAGAAGGTCGCTGGTGGGTCTGGGAATGTAGTGAGAGCGCTGCAGAGTTCGTTTGTCGATGACAGAACTTCATTTGATGGAAGACTTGGTTCTGACTCTGCAAATATAGAATCGGAGAAGGCGGTAGAGCCTCTTACTGCAGGAACTTCGGCTGATAGTTTAGACGTTTTGTCCGACCCTCTTGCTTCTGATTCTGAGAGTGGTACACTGGAGGGTGGTGCTGGAAAAGCACAGCGTGGCCCTCGAGTCATGGTGGTTCCGGCGAGAGTTTGGCAAGAGACCAACAATCGGTTGCGACGGCAGCCAGAGCCGGGGTATCCAATATCTAAGAACATTGGAGCAAAAACTTCAGTTCCTTCGAAGGTAAACATTCCCAAGAAGCATTCAATGGATAGTCCAGCATCATCTCCTCGCCAGGTTGCTAATAACATGGAGCCGCCGTCATCTCCTCTGTCCCCAAGTAAACTTTTAGCATCCTCCATATCATCACCTTCAAAAGGAAGCCCATCTCGTGTGAGATGCTCAGTGACAAATGGGTTCAGTAATAACTGGAGCAGCACGCCATCGACTTTGAATTTTGCTAATGATATTCGAAGAGGGAAAATGGGGGATACCCGTATGGCTGATGCACATTCATTGAAGACGTTGTATAACAGGCTTTTGCAGTGGCGTTTTGTGAATGCTAGAGCAGAGGCCACCTCTTCGATACAGAGTTTGAATGCAGAGGTATTATTACTTGAAATGGGCATTTTCTTTGCTTTCTTTGGAGAAGAATTGTTGATCCTTTCATTCTGAGTTCTAATTTTTCAATCAACCAATTGGCTGCTTTGTATTATAATCTGTAGAGCTTAGTTTCAATCAAGGAATCATCATGTTTGCTTATATTGTTTAATTGTTCCTTATGTCAGAGAAACCTCCACAGTGCTTGGAATAGTATTTCAAAACTGCGTGAATCTGTTGCAGCTAAAAGACATGAGATGCAATTACTACAGCACAAACTGAAGTTGGCTTCTATCCTCAACTCTCAAGTAAGATAAACGGATGCATTTTCCTCTCTTGACCTCCAAGTTTGCACCTGGAAAATTAGTTAGGCTCATATGTTCTTATTATCAAAGGAGTTTATGAATCTTCATTAGGTTCTTTGTTTGTCAATTTTCTTTGCTTAGACTGTGGTAAGTATTGTGTTTTACGAATGTAGATGACATGTTTGGACGAGTTGGATCTTCTGGATGAAGACTTCTCCAGCTCTCTATCAGATATCACAGAAGCTTTGGAAGCTAGAACTCTTCGCCTGCCAGTTGATGAAGGGGCTAAGGTTGGTGTCTGTGTGTATGGATGTGTACCATCAAGCTTTTTCCTCATTCTTTGTTTATTTATGTATTTATCTTTTGGTCACAGGCGGAAATCCAGGATGTTAAGGATGCAATTTGTTCAGCGGTTGATGTGATGCAAGCAATGGCACCATCCTTAAGCTCATGGCTAACAAAGGTTGCAATCCCACTCTCACCTGTTTTTCATTTCTTTATTCATCATTGTCACTTCTGTTCTTCTGGTAGTTGAATTTTCGGAGAGGAGTCCCACGTCAACTAATTAAGGGGTTAATCATGGATTTATAAGTAAAGAATACTATGAGGCCTTTTACGAAAACTAAAAGCAAAGAGCAAAGCCACGAGAACTTATGCTCAAAGTGGACAATATCATACCATCGTGAAGGGTTGTGATTCCTAACATGGTATTATAGTCATGCCCTTAACTTAGCTATGTCGATAGAATCCTCAAATATCGAACAAAGAAGTTGTGAGTCTTGAAGTTGTAGTCAAAAGTAACTCAAGTGTCGAACAAAGGGTGTACTTTGTTCGATAGGAGGATTGTTGGGAGAGGAGTTGATCATGAGTTTATAAGTAGGGAATACTATCTCAACTGGTATGAGGTCTTTTGTGGAAACCAAAAAATAAAGCCATGAGAGCTTATGGTCAAAAGTGAATAATATCATACCATTCTGGAGGGTCCGTGATTCCTAACAACACAGATGACCGGTGTCTTTTTTAAGTTTTTTTCTGTTTAATCACACCTGTGAATAATGCCTTGAAATGAACACACACACAGCTTAAACATATGACTAAAAAGCATCTCTCATTGATGATGATAGGTCGGAGAGGTGAACTCTGTGGTATCAAAACTTGCAGATGTTAATGCACATGAGCGTGCTTTGCTCGACCAGTGCAACGATTTATTGTCTACAGTAGCATCTATGCAGGTGTCATTTTGTATCCTCTACATCTCTCTTTCTCTCTATCCTGTGTTTTTCTGTCTCTCACATGGAACAAAAAACTTTTCCAGGTAAAAGAGTGCAGCCTGAGAACACAAATATTGCAACTAGAACGCCCGCCCACCAGCTTAACAGAACAGGACACCGCAAGGGTATAGGTAGCTGATTGTTGTGTTGTGTGCATTATTAGACCGAAGATCTTGCTAGAGAATCGAAACCCATTCTTTTTTTACTTGAATTCATGAAACAAGAAGCAATAATAGATTCATTGACAGTGTTTGGTCATGAGTGAATCATCAAACTTGATAAACATTCCTGGATTGAGGAATTGGCCCTCCCCATGTCCTATGTCCTATTATTTATGGATACTGTATCGGATAACAGGTGTAAAATTCAACCTTCGACATGTGGGTAGGGACGCAATATTGACACACCTGTACCGTCCGATACTGTCTTTAAAGAACTCATTTTTCAAAGGAAGTCGCCTGAGACACTCGTTTTGGAACGCTCGCATTCACTGTGACACACACATATGCCACAGGGTAGCCCGCCCTCATTATGACACACACAGTAGCTCGCTTGGATGGGGCCTACAAGTGGTAGAGAGGTAACACCATACCTCCTCTATTGTACATTTCGAGGCATTTTCAAAGTAGTAGGTATAGACATGATTTTGGTGAACAGTGTTGTTGAGTGTTCGATTGACGTCAAATTTGTCGAGCTTTCATATGAACATATGGACAGACTTGACTCTAGAACCACATGCCCAAATTTCCTCCATAACCCCAATTTTCAAGGTTAAGACCTGGTTGCATGCCCACTATGTGTGGTGTGTCCAGAACCACATGTCCAAATTTCCTCTAGAACCCCGACTTTCAATGATAAGGCCCGGTCGCATGCCCACTATGTGTGGTGTGTCCAGAACCACATGTCCAAATTTCCTCTAGAACCCCGACTTTCAATGATAAGGCCCGGTCGCATGCCCACTATGTGTGGTATGTTAGATGATGCATCATCTTCCTCGGTCTCATCATGACACTCATCTAGGCCCTCACGTAGTTAGATGAGCATTACTTGAGGGTTGTCACTTCTCTTATCATAACGTGAGGGTCAGAACCTTGTGACACTCAACCTCCCGTCATTTTTTAAATACGTCATAACACGATCATTAATCTAAATAAATGATAATTTAACAATAATTGCAATAGCTAACATGACCAATTTGTTGGTGGAATTGTCGTTGGAAATTTGGTCGTACCCATTCCTCTTAGGTTTGGTAAACTTCCAAGAATGTCCACTTGAGTTTGTTAACTTTCTCACCCACTTGCTGGGTTGGCCTGTGATGATGACTAATCCCTCTTTCAAGTTGCATTATTCAAATAACTAATAAAAATAAAAATAAAAAACCCATTTTTTTTAATTGAAAAAGAATTAATTGAATTTATCATCACTGATACAGAGTTCCAATCTGAATAAACAAACTGAATTCAACTAATTTTGAATTTCGATTCTAATCCCTATTTTCCCCAATTCACGAAATGGGTCGTCCTAATTCAGCGAGTTCTCCGGTTCCGGTAGCCAAAACAACCGCGGCTTCTTCGTCGGCAGAGGGCTCTCCACCTCCTGGTCGCCGGCGAACAACAGCTTCGGCGACAGAGCCGCTGACGCGGGGATATTCAGGTCGAAATTCCGATGGCTATGGCTGCCGGTATGTGTCGAACCCACTCCTTCAGACGAAGTCATCGTAATCCCACTATAGCTCTGACGATTCCCGAAGGCGGCAGAGCCGCCTTCGTAGTGGCGGCGCTTGTGTCCACCCAAGGCCTGCCCAGTGGGAAACGACTTATGACAAACATTACAGACATGAGCCCTTCCACCAGAGGTAGACGTGGTGGTACTCGACGTGGCACCGGACACCGACGTGGACTGGTCGTCGACAGAAGCCGGTTTCCGGTGGCTAGTTTTGTGGCCACCGAGAGCTTGGTAAGAGGAAAAGACCTTATCGCAAAGGGGACAGTTATAAGCAGACTTGACGGCAGCCACCGGCTTGGGTGGAGAGGGAGAGGCGCCGCCGCGGGCAAGCATGATGAGACAGAGAGCAAGATACTCTTCTTCAGAGGGAGCGCCGTCGAGAGATGGGCGGGGGGAACGCTTGCGCTTGACCCAGGGCTTGAGAGGCTTGTCGAAGGGAGGGGGGGCGGCCATGGTCGGGGAATTGAGAGCTTCGAGCGCCATAGGTGAAGGAAGGGTTCGAATTGGGGAGTTTCAGAGGAATCGAAGAATTGGGAATTTGAGGAGAGAGAGAGGGAGGCGGAGGGATTTATAGAGAGACAGAGAGAAACAGAGGAAGGAAGTTACGGAGGAAGGACGGCAAGGCAAACACGTTTTTGTTCTAGATGGCGGCCGCTGAGGTTCACTCCAATTCAGTCAAACTTTTGACCAACTGGCTGCGCTGACTTTTTCAACTGCCTTCCACATAATCCTTGACTAACTATATCTATCCACCTAAATAATTCTAAATTTTAGTGTACATTTTCTCCGATAACGTTAGAATTTGGTCCCGACGTTTTTAATGTTAAGTTATGGAACCTGATGTTTACGTTTATTACTGTGGATATTTTCCATCCTGGTGTTACTGCGCATATTTCTTCAAGTTTTTTCTTTTATTCTGTATATTTTTCATCTCGATGGATGTGGTGTTATGGCTAAAGCTTTGTCAGCTTCTCGTAGATTGAACTCTCTTCTCTTTAGTTTAGGCTCCGAGTTGTTTTTGGGTGGGGATGGTCGGAATGAGCTTCTAACTAGTGGCAATGAAGTTCTTGGTAATTAAGAAGGGGAAGGAAGATCTCCGCTCTATTTAGTGTGGTGCTGGAATTGGAAGTCAAAAGTTTTGACAGTGACAAAAATGGGTCGTTTTAATGCTGAGCATTTGGCATGTGCAAATAGAATAAAATATAGAATAAAATTAGAGGCGGCGTCGGCATTTGGGATGAAAAATTCGTTACATTATTGTGAGGTGAGCTACCATAAGCCCAACCAAACCAAACCAAACCAAACCAAACCAAACTAAACCAAACCAAACCATAAATTTGAAAGAGTTATATATGGGTTAATTGTTTCAATTAAAATTTTAAATTAATAATTATATATAACGAACTAATTTAGATACGGGTTTAAAATTTATACTTATTTTCACTTAATTTTATAAAAATCAACTCGATTTAAAACATTTTTTCTCTAAGATTTTATCGAAGTAGTAAAAAAAATCTCATTTACAAATAAAGAAAAATAGAGGAAGTGAGATGCTCGAAAATGGAGGAATTTACGCCGAAGATCGAACCCAAGAAACCCATCCTCATAGGAGTGGTTTTGTTTCGTTGATTTAGGGGACATCAGCGCAAGTTTAAGCTCGTTTCTGTGAGAGAAAGATTCGTAGAGGATTATATTTGGGAGAGGTTGGACCAATTTGGACGAATGAGCTGCCGAGGACTAAGTGGAAAATGATTCAGGTTCTACTTTTGAATATAAAGTATAAGTTATTAAAATAAAACGAACCAACTATGGTGCCTGTGTAGGTCCATTCTGATAAATCAAGTGTCACTAGAGGTGAGTTGACGACTTTTTAATGGTCCTATATCTAGCAAAACACAGTAATTAAAAAAAAAAAAAAACGCTCTTGATCACAAAAAATGGTGCTTATGTGGGTCATTCTTGTAAATCCAGACGCCACTGGAGGCTGACCCTCTAGTGGAGCTAGACCTTCCGAACATAGTAACTCATGAAAAGCATTCTAACTAATACATAGGGGGAGAACCCATAGCTAAATCAACTATGGTGCTTACACGGGTCAATTCCATGAGACATGATATCTGTAATAGCCTGAACCCACTTGCAAACAAATATAGTCTCCTTTGAGATTTTCCTTTTGAACTTTCCTCAAAATTTTTAAAACGAGTCTATTAAGGTGAAGTTTGCACATCCTTGTAAATAATGTTTCGTTTCTCTCTCCAACTGACGTGAGATTTCACAACCCATCTCGTTCGAGGCTCAACATGCTGTCTGACACTCGTTTTCTATCCCATCAAAACACTACTCTAAAAAAAATGGTTATTGAGAATAAATTCAAAAAATATAAATTATCTAAAAAATTGTACTCACATTCTCCACGTGGCCTTCTCGAATGTCTCCAAATTTACTGGACCAAATTGCCCTCAATACTATTAAATATTTAAATTTTAATGAAAAAAAGAAAAATCCACGCTAAACGAGTCAAGATTCAATTTATTTCTCCTTCATTTTGGTTTCTAGTTCCGATCACAGCCGGCGATGGAAGCAGCCTCGAATCTCAGTTCCTCACTTCCCCTTTCGCCGTCGCACCACAGGACCACCGCCGTCTTAACTCGTCTTCAGCGGATCGCTTCTTTATCCACAGCCGCCGCCGGAGCCCTCCCGTCGTGTCGTACACATTTGACTCGCCTTCATCAGCGTCGATCCGCGATTTTGCCTCTACGTTGCAATGGTAATTCGAATTTCCGATCTGTTGTGTAAGGTCAATATTCGCCGACGCAGGTCAAAATTGAACTCCTTGCGGTAAGGAACTTTTTGAACGATGGGCAATTTGGTCATATGGGTTCTCCGCTTGTTGCTTCAACTTTTTTGTATAAGAAATAATAAATTAAACCTATGGATTCCGTATTGGCCGCTGCCATTCTCTCTTTCTCTCTGGTCTTACCTCCCTTGAACTGGGTTTTGATCGAGTGTCCGGCGGCTGTTTGGCAGTGAGGGAGACGGTGGCAGATCAAGAAATGGCGTCTATTGATGTAGAAGACCCACGCATAGCCAAAATCGCCAAGGCCATTCGAGTTATCCCTGATTTTCCCAAACCAGGTACCAATCTCGTTCTTGGCTGATGGGTATTTTGTTGGTAAAGGCTAAATTTCTTTGGGCTGAACATTATCTTCCTTGTTTTGGTAGGGATTTTGTTTCAGGACATTACGACGTTGCTTCTTGATACCAAGGCCTTCAGGGACACTATTGATTTGTTCGTGGAGAGGTACAGAGGGAAAGATATCACTGTGGTTGCTGGTAAATTCTAGTTTCAAAAGGGTGTCATTTAGATCAGGAAGTAATTTTGTAGTTTAACTTGAAGTGAACCAATTGATCTTGTTTGTTCTGTAGGGATTGAGGCGAGGGGTTTCATTTTTGGACCTCCCATAGCTCTGGCTATTGGTGCAAAATTTGTTCCCATGAGAAAACCCAAGAAGTTGCCTGGTACAATTTTGTGCTTGACTCGCGTTTGTTTGTGGCCTTGTGAATCTATCTAGAAACTTTTTAATTTTTAACTAGATTCTAGCATAATGTTTCTGGATAGGATTGGCTTTGGGCCTTTCATGGGTAGCTTAGGTGGTGGGCGAAGAAGGCCCCCTTCTAGGGCCTCAAGTCATTAGTGAGATATTACTTTGAAAGAGCTAGAATTCTAACCTTGTGTCAGGACCTACGGGTGAAGAAGGCTCCCCTCTGGGGGCTGAGCCATCAATGAGATACCACTCTGAAAGAGCTAGAATTCTAACCTTGTGTCAGGTCCTACGGGCGAAGAAGGCCCCCATCCGGGGGGTCTGAGCCATCAACAAGATTCTACTCTGAAAGAGCTAGAATTGTAACCTACCTATGGGCGAAGAAGGCCCCCATCCAGGGGCCCGAGTCATCAGTGAGATACCACTCTAAAATAGCTAGAATTCTAACCTTGTGTCAAGACCTACGGGTGAAGAAGGTCCCCTTCTGAGGGGGTCCGAGCCATCAGTAAGATACCACTCTGAAAGAGCTAGAATTCTAACCTTGTGTCAGATCCTACGGGCGAAGAAGGCCCCGGGAGCCATCAGTGAGATACCACTCTGGAAGAGCTAGAATTCTAGCATTGTGTCGGGACCTACTGGTCAAAGGATAGTCTCAAGTAGACAGTTTCTATGGGGCGTAGGCCTCCGGTTAAGAATGAGAAATAGAATTGGGATCGAAGGTGTTATAAATATAGGTGGGATCTAAAGTCCCAGTATTCTTAACACCTCCTTCCTCCTAAAAGGTAATGGAGGTGTGCAAAAGTTTCCTCGGGGCTAGACGAATATTGGCCCTTTGAGTGCCAAAAACTCTTCATGCATATGCTATTAGGTTTAATGTTTGCTATCTTTAACCCGATGGTAAAGAAGCAAGCAATCTGCATGCCTTAGACGTATTCTAGTTTCTAATGCAAGAAACTTGGAGCCTTTAATCGATGTTCCAAGTTACTTTGGTACAATGATACTCAAGAAACTGGATAGTGGCTATTGTGTTGGATTGTCATAGTTAATTCATCTTTGAATAAACATGTAAATAATGATTCTGTTTCTGAAATGCATGTTTACAGGTGAAGTCATTTCAGAAGAGTACTCTTTAGAGTATGGAACAGATAAAATTGAGATGCATGTAGGAGCTGTTGAAGCTGGAGAACGCGCTCTTGTGATAGATGATCTCATTGCAACTGGGGGAACCTTGTGTGCAGCAATAAGACTACTTGGTAGGTTATTTTTAAAGCCAACTTGTTATATTACTTTTTAGCTGATAATGCACAGGCCAGCTAAATAAACCAGCGATGCATTGCGTTTTTACTCTTATTTACTCGATGTCATTATCATGGCTGTAATTTTCAAACTTGCTCAGTTCTAGGCCTCAGGTTACTCATTGAATATGGTTAACTGTTATTGTGATTGTGCTTTGGTTTCTATGAAATTTGCTCAGTTTCATTATTAAGTTGCTGAGAATCTGCTGAGAAATGATAATTCTTTTCCGACTCATGGCTGCACTATAGATGGATCCCACGTTGGTTGGGGAGGAGAACAAAGCATTCTTTATAAGGGTGTGGAAACTTCCCAAGCAATCGCATTTTAAAAACCTTTAGGAGAAGCCCGAAAGGGGAAGCCCAAAAAGAACAATATCGGCTAGCAGTGGACTTCGGTCATTACAAATGGTATCAGAGCCAGACACTGGGCAGTGTGCCAGCAAGGATGCTGGTCCCAAAGGGGAGTGAATTGTGAGATCCCACGTTGATTGGAGAGAGGAAGGAGTGCTAACGAGGACGTTGAGCCCCGAAGGTGGGTGGATTGTGAGACCCCACATTGGTTGGGGAGGAAAACGAAACATTTTTTATGAGGGTGTGGAAACCTCTTCCTCGCAGATGCATTTTAAAAACTTTGAGGTAAAGCCTAAAGAGGACAATATTTGCTAGCGGCGGTGAGCTTAGGCTGGGCTTGGGCCGTTACACTTACTATTTTAAACTTTTCTTTAAGAGCGTAAAGTTATCTTGTTCATGATCTCTTGGTTATATTAATCGGTTGTTATCTATTTATGACAGAGCGAGTTGGCGTGGATGTGGTCGAGTGTGCTTGTGTGATTGAGCTGCACGGACTAAAGGTAAGCCTTTGCAAAAATCTGAGAACAGACCAAAACCTTTTAAGTAGACCTACTAATTACAGAACTTCCCATGGATTCTGTCTAGTTGCATGTTTATGACATGATGAGTATTCTCATTTTCTTTAGTCTCGAAATCGACTCTAGCCATTTCTTCGTCTTGAATTTTATCAGGGTCGTGAAAGATTGGGAGACAAACCTCTGTTTGTTCTAGTTAACGCAGCAGCATGATCGCAGAGCCTTCTTCTGTAACACGACGTGTTCGGTAATGACAATATTATCACGCACCGCTGCTAGAAGTTGAAGTTTTAAAGTAATGCATAATTTTGAAGCCGAGAGTGTTGCTAGAAATAAAAGGGATGGTATTAATTTTGAGTATCTGCAGAAACTTCTTTATTTTGAAGTTAAGTAGTTTATATGTCTCTCTTTCTCTGAATATACCTTATTTGAATGAGTTTATAATGATTACTCTTTTCCTAAGCCAATGTGGAACCGTGTATGTACTCCTAGCAATCTTCCCCTTGAAGGTAGTACCTTTTTAGGCTTCTTTGTCGACTTGATCCGACCAATATCTTGTACGATTGCAAATCACATTGTGGGATATTCCCTAATGGTGACGATGACGATCACCTATCGCATCATCTACCTCCTCCCCTCGAACGAAGATCTACTCCTCTATCGGGGAGTTATTGATGGGTTATTACTTGCTTGTCACCCAAATCACTTTTTGTTTGATGAGGGACCATCTCAATGTTTTAGGAATATAAAGCGGCAACAGTCCAAGCCTAACACTAACAGATATTATTTGTTTTGGCCTGTTATGTATCGCTATTAGTTTCACGATTTCAAAATGCAAAGAGGACATTAGACATAACAGTTACGTATTTGCTAGCTCATTGTGGTTACATATCGTTACTGGCTCAAAAAGAACAATATTACTAACTCTCTTTTTATTTAGAACTTAAAGATATCTTTGATACACAATTTGGTTTATACTATGTTGTAATGCTAATTGACATGTCCAGTTTGGACATAAACTTCGTACTAATGGAAATGATTGTCTTTACTTCTATACTCATGATCATATGATTCTTTTGGGAATTGTAATGGTCTAATTCTACCGCTAGCAAATATTGTCCTATTTGGGCTTTTTCTTTTGAACTTTCTCTCAAGGTTTTTAAAACGCGTCTATTAAGGAAAGGTTTTCATACCCTCGAAAAGGATGTTTCATTCTTCTCTCTAACTAACGTGGGATCTCACAATCAACCCCCCTTTGGGACCTAGTGTCCTCGTCGGTACTTGTTCCCTTATCCAATCAATGTGGGACCCTCCTCCCAATCCACCCCCTTCAGGGCCCAGCGTCCTTGCTGGCACATCGCCCTATCTCTGATACCATTTGTAATGGCCCAAGTCTACCGCTAACGGACATTGTCTCTTTGGACTTTCCCTCAAGGTTTTTAAAACGCGTGTGCTAGAAATAGGTTTCCACACCCTTTAAAAGGGTATTTCGTTCCCCTCTCCAACGAGGACGTGGGATCTCACATGAGCTCTCTTTCCTTTTCTTTTAGGTGTAGTAGATTATACAAACATTCTCCGGTTGGTACCATTGGTGTGCTTCATCTAGAAGACTCGAGCCGTACTAGAATTTAGGAAAAAAAAAAAAAATTAACACAACCAAAAAAAGAGAAGTCATTAATTAATATAAAGGAATAATTTAGGTAAGAATTAACAATTGATACATTTATTAAATTAGAATTATCTTGATACAAGTTTCTTCCCTATCCATATAATTTGTTTTTAATAATCGGACGACTTGACATTAATATAAATAAATTATCCTTTTTTTGAAAAAAAAAACACGTAATAATTAATGATATTAGTTTTCTATATATATAAACAATTTAATATACATTAGAATAGTCCATTCCCTGATAATTTAGAAACATAAGATAATTAAAACGCTAATTAATGCACCTCCAGCCGTTAATTAACAAATATGTGCTCAATATTTAAACCTTGCATGAATAATGCTGTTTATAGATTAATTCATTACGTGTCACTTCAGGCTTAAATAAACATATTTTTTTTCAATGTCGGAAAATTACAAGAATGTGTATTTTCTATTTTTTTTATTTAAAAAATATTCATATAATTAGCGATTCACGTCATTTATTATTATCTTAAAAAAAAGATTCAAAACCTCTCACTTCTTAAATAATGCAGTTTAAAATAATTAAAAGTTTTAATCGTAAAATTGTTTAATTTATATATCTCTAATATGTTTTGTTTCTGTCTGTTATCATTCATTCAATTATTAATTTATTAATAAAAAAACTAATTAATATTTTTTGGGGTGTTTTTTCTTAAATTTAAAAATTATGTTATAAAATTGTCATATAGATTAATTTTATTTTTTTATTTTTTATTGTTTAAATTCTTTTATCAACAAATAATAATTTACCATAAGGTAGTTCACTCCAATTTTAAATCAATATTTAAAAATAAAATGTATACCTTAAAAAGTTTTTTAATGTATATATCGGAATTCCTAATCCAATCGTCGCAAAAATAAATAGAAAATTTTTGTAGAGACAGAAGATGAAATAGGTGGTAGGAACGGAATTGGGGAAAGTTTTCTCATCCCGTCCTGTCCAATAAACATCCCTAATTATAGCGACCGACTAAAAAATTCAATAGTTCAAGGTAGCGGGCTCCAAGGAGCTCATGAACCAATAAGAACAACACCGTTAAGGCTAAATGATGAAAAATTTAAAGTTTAACGAGCTAGAACTGTAAGTTGAGCTTAAGCAAGTTAGTAAAATCTCCTTGTTAATTTTTAAAAAAATTTATAAAAAAAAAACTTATAACTCAGGTATATTTTAGGTATAAGTAAAAAGAAATATAAATTTTTTGCGATTGGAGCGTAATAGAGTTGAGAGCCTATATAGTTCGTTTAGATCATAATGATCCGTAATTGTTATTTTTTAATTTCTCTGTAAACTTTCATTTTACAACTAATTTATTTTTCATTTATTTTCTAAGTAATGACTCCTTATCTAACTAGAGAGTCCGAACTGTTATAGCTATCATATTGTTCGTCTATATTTTCTTTTTAAAATTTCGAGACACAATCTTAATCTCCAAAGTAAGCACCGTGTATAATATTATCCCTTCTAAAATTTTAAATTATGGATATATTTTCATGAGTAGAATATGAGGCCCTCTAACGCCATGTGGATCAACCGTACAAGAAATCATAGGAAGGCTACAAGGAAAGAGTAGCATTATAAGTGATTCGTCTCGTTAAAGAGTAATGCAACAATATCTTAGCTCAACTCAACGTCACAATAATCTAAACACCGACTTACGCATCGAAACATGTCACGATGGAGCTGACGTAGATTTAAGATTGGATTTGATAAATAAAAGACACTATTTTCTAATAATAATTTATAAAATATAGAGTAATATAAAAATAGGAAATGGACAAAAAGAGAAATTACACGTGGAACTGTTGAAGAATGCGAATCCGAGTTGGCCAAAAAAATTGAACACAATGCGAGAGTCTTGGAGAACCAATTTCCCTTTCTCATTCCCACGTGGAGAATCAACCAAGACGAAGACCACACACACGTGGAAGACCCCTACACGCCATGTCCACGTACGCACATTAAACAAATCCAAACGAAATACTTCAAAAATACGGTTTCCGTTTTAAGCACGTACGTAGAGTGTTATGGACTCTTTTTCTTTAAATTCAAGTCTCCGTATTGTCTCCGAAGAAAATATTGAAATATTAAAAAGAGAAAATAGCTTTTGAAACTACCCTAAAACGCGAATAATAAGCCACTGGTTGGTGCCCTGACGTGATCAGGATCGAAACTATTTTCGAGCGTTGGCTATCAATCATACATGTTAAAGTCATCGAGTTCGAACTTTACTCACAACAATGTCGAAAAAATATCGACCGTGACTCAATTTTTTTCACGCTCGGACCCAATTAATTTATATATATAATAATTTTAAAATGGGGGGGGGGGGGAATTAATATTGTGGAGGCGTGGGTTTGGTTTGAAAGGTCGTGCAATGGGCGGCGCAATTCCCGAAGATAAAAGAAAACGAGTGGTCCGGCGAATGCGCCGGAATCCGCGGCGGAGAAGAATGACGACACTTTTGAATTAACGGACCCCTCCCTCCTTCCATCATGGGGTCCGTTTACAATATTGTGATATTTCGAGGGCCTAAATGAAAAATAAAGACTCCATTATTTTATTTATTTTTTTATCTAATAAAATCTTGTCGGCAAGCTGATTTTCACGCATAATTTTAATTAGTTGAATTTTTTAAAAATTTAAAATAATTATAATAATGTATAGGGCAGTACTGTCATTTGACTTGCTTCTAACCATTATTATATGCCAACGTGTTTGACTTATGGATTAAGCTTTAATAATAATCCAATTTTAAAAGTCAAACTTATATTTATTTATTCTAAACAAATTTAGATAATTAACTTATATATTATATTCTGTAATTTTACTTCGGTTTATGCTAACATGGTAAATGGCTTTATTGTTGACTTGGTTGGATGACTTGATTGTTGTATGAACGACGTACCCGATGGCCTCTGCACATGTCATGATTTTATGATTGTTTGATGTATGTGATGTTTATGTTTATGTTTATGTTTATGTTATGATGTCAGATATGATAGGAACCAGTTATGCTATGTTATAAAATATGTCATGAATGGTTATTTTATGGGATTATGTTATGTTATCGATGTTGTATGATGCATGAACCTCTATATACCATGTAAGCTATGTAATAAATTCACTCGTAGCTTATGAGACATTAGAAAGCATAAAGCCATATACGTTAAGTACGAAAGATATGACAAGTATTTTGTTTTAATGGTAGCTGTTAAGTATTTATCAATGAATTGATACTATGTGACTTCATGCATATTGTATCCATTATGATGAGTATAGACGCGTACATATCTATGTTTTGTCATGATATTATACAGACTCCTTTTTCTCTGTAGTTCTGATATCATGAGTGTGCACTAGCTAAAGGGCATGGCCAGGGGTATGTATACGCTCGCCTGTCTAGTGAGTCTACGTGCGCATGCATGAGCCGTGTGTAAAGAAATACTACACATTTAAATTTTACCAAGATTGAAAAATAGAGTTCAAGGCCATGAAATGTTTTCATGACTTTGAACTTGTTACTTTCGTTTTCCCTAACTGCATTGTGGTTTTACGAACGTTTAAGTTCATAATATCATTTATGTAATGTTTTAAATGAATTTTTCACTTAGTTATATCACGCATGCAGTGACATCTTTATTTTATTAAGAAAAATAATATAAGAATTACCTTGTTTAAGATTCAAATCGCTTCACAAACATAATAGATCATATCACACTTGAATGATTTTAAACATGCAACATACGCCGTATAGAAACTTAACTCGTAGCTATATATATATATATATATAT